TTTAAAAAAAATACTAAAGGAGGTAATCATTTTTGATGTTGTTATATGCATACTTTGGCATAAAAAACAAATCTAGGAAAAAATGAAAAAGGTTAAGCTTATCGGGCTAAACTACACCATACAGGAAAATTTTTAAAGGAATATGTACATGACACTAAGAAAAGAAGTGAAACCAAAGGCAAGAGACTTGCAACAATAAAGAGAAGCGTAAGTACATGTGTATACCTGTTTCTGAATCTTCTAATGCCGTTGCGTCTTGTAATACTAAGGTGACTTCACCGTAGAACTGCAACAGTGAATCTTTTGTGTCAACTATTTGAAATAAATAAATCATATGTTGACTTGGTATTCGAATTTCATTTTCTTTATTTACCTATTTATTTATTGACTCCGTTTTAAAAAAGCATCAGCATAAAATACACAAATATATATTTATAGTTAGACACACTAAGCACTAAAACAGGGGTAGAGTGTCTTCTCCTATGGAAGGACCAACCGGATGCTGATATATTAAGTTATTCCACCAATAATTACACTATTTCGAACCGTAAGTATATTCCTCATTTAACATAAAATATCTTACATTATAATCTGCTAAAATAAAGTTAATGATTTGCATTAATTGAAATGACTTTAACATTTTTAACATATAAGGATTTTTCTACGTTTTCTTGATGAAGAAATATGTCTTAATGTTGAAGTATCCTTTAGCCGGCGCTAGGGGGCGTGGACGGTAACTTGAACCATGTACAGGCCTAATCAAGCGGAGCATGCAACATTTGTATCATTTTTTGGTGTTTTGCTTTCTTTAGGGATTCTGTTGTCTCTATTTTTACATCCTCACTTTGAAGATAAACTATTGGATAATGCAATTTTACTGTATTTTACATTAACAACAGCCGGTACCAATGCCACAGACTTAGTGACCGTGGCTGAATAGAAACAGGTGCAGTCTTCCCTGATCCCCCAGAAGAAGAACAATAACAAAGTGGGGATACATGCAGAATTTGCAGCGCGGAACACGTTGGCAGGAAAAGAAATTGTATCTTGGTTAATTGTTGCGCAAAAAAAAATGTGAATTTTGTGTGCATTCCTAATGCATTGGCATTGTTGCCAGTTAAAGAACTGAAATACTTCTGCCCAGAACATATCAAAAAATATAAATAGATTGTGTATAACCTTTTATTTTTCCCCATTGGTTTTCTAGTGCAAAAGCCTCGTCTGCTTGTCCAATTCCCGAAATATTGTCATTGTTTCTATCTCAGCTGAAATCTGATGTTTAGTCTTATTTCTTATGTCATAAGATTATTTCTCTTCTATGTAGTTGTGGATAATGATGTTAATTTAACATTGAATCCCGCAATCAGCACATTTCAACAGGGATGTTGAAGGGTTTTCATTACATTGTCTTTCAAATGCTTTTAAGCCTTTATCCAGTTTAGTGCCGTTTATGGACATGTGCTGGCTATAGAAAAATAAGAAATTTTGAAACTTTTTATAAATATATATATATAATGACTTTATCAAGCTTTTAAATGTTGACGCTCTTTCTTATATTTCAGGTAAATGTGAAAATTCCATTTCTGAAATGGCTGGCATTTGACTATGACTATGACTTTGTTGCCAATTTTGTCTAAGATGAATGTGAATATACATACGCTTAATAGGAAGATAAGTAATATTTGTGGGAGTTACAACTTATTTACTGCATATATTAAAAGTTACATTGAAGCAGAATAACTGGAGCTCAAGTATCTAATCAATATAATATGTAAAACAATAAAACAATAATATTGTTTTACAAAAAGCGTTATAGAATCTTAATTTTAAGGGTAAAATAATTATAACATACACCGTTATATTATCCAGATAACCATATGTTCGCAAACATACTCTGCATTGGAAAATTTCTGTCGACAAATCTTGTTGGTATATTTTTGGTGTGCTTTGGATATACTTATTTCTTGTTCAAAGGTGTTTCTTGTCTGTAATATTAGTTTCGTCTTAAAGTTAATAATTATAAAATCATTAAGGTAATTCTGTAAGTGTATGATTTGTAACATTCAATTGGTGAAATAGAATCATGCTTAAGAATCCTGCTTAAGAATCATTATAATAAATATCATAATTGTTATTATTATTATATGTTAGTGATCTCAAAGATAAATGTCTGATTAATTTAATTTGTGATATTTCAAATTAAACTCTTCAAGCTTATCTAAATTTCTGTAAACATCTTTCCAGTGCTTCTCAGATGGGACACCTGGGGGCATCCATCTCTTTGTTTTTCTATTAATATTTTCCAAAACGAAGTCACCCCCTTCACCTTTACTGTTATTTCCCGATGTAGAATAGACTTTTAAAAATTTACTATGGCCAGCACTAATGAAATTATAATTGGCCCGTCTTATGCTACATCTAAATACATAGAGTGCAAATACATAATTTAACAAACAGTTTGTTATGAATCGGAAATTTGGTGATTTCGAATATTCTATGAACTTATAGAACTCTGATACGTTTACTGGATTATCATTAAAACAATGAAGAATAAATGTTCTCAATAATTCGACTTGAGTGCCAAATAGTAAGATGTTCATAAATTTCCACGATTTATGGTGGTCGGAACAATTTCTCGCGGCGAGCAAAGCATGTGGTGTACGAAATCCATTATTCTTTACTAAATTTTCTATTACCACATCCCATAACAATTTATAAACAGCCTTTGTTGCGTTCATTTAAATGTGTCCATTCCAAGGGACCAAATGGAGATTTTGCAATTGTTCATTTTTATGTAATAGTTTCATACCAAGTTTATATGGTAACCTATCGCAGCCTACAATTTTCCATTTTTTATCATCACCATTATCATCGATACATTGCTCTTGTATATGCTTGAAATATATATATTGTACAATTAATGTATAATTTTATATAGAAATATCAAAATACGTCCGAGGTATTACTTACATCTTAAATTAATTGATAGAAAAGGACATTCTTACAAGTGTCACATTATCTTATATACACGTGTGTATAATTTTTATAGTTCCTTACTGTATATTTTCTAACGAAACTTTTGGATATTTAAACTTATGATTTATAAATATAATACTTATGTTTTAGATATATAAATTCAATCTGTAATACTCTTTTTAATGATTAAAACCAAACAAAGATAACATAAATCACACTGACTAGTCATTAATTATACACACAGTTTATATAAGAGAAAACTAACAACAATATAGTATTTATATTGGTGAATAAAATGGATATATATGACTATGATCTGCATGTTTTTACTTTATTTATAAACTGAAAAACGTTATACAAAGTCTTCCAATAACGAATATAATGTTTTATATAAGAATGATATCAACTACCAATATATTTATTTTATTTCACACTGTATTTCTCATTTCATTAGTTTGAATTTTTTTTCTCTTATAATTACATCTATTTTAATGGATTTAAAAACATTCATCACCCAGAATGTGTCCACACCGTCTACTAGTTTTCCATTAACGGTTAGGTTCTGCTCTTTAACACTTTTTAATCCCATTTCTAAGAATTGGTCTCTTATATTCATGAACATCTTTTCCGAATCATTTAGTGTTTGTTGATTTTGGTTATCAATTGCTCGTTATTTTCTTTATATATTAACCATAGTTTAGGATTAAGGCAATTTGATAATTTGATAATTTATTCTCTGATGCGCGGGGTTGTATATGGACAAGAGTTGTCACTACACTTGCCCTACACTTATAATCGAATCGAATACGCCAGTTTCTGGCTATACGTTGATTGTTGTCAAAAAGTTACAGTATTTGTTTTTTTATCAACTAATTGTAGGGGTTTGTTAGCTTGATAAGTGAGCAATTTTTAAAACATACATAACATCCTCCTGATTGTTTTATTATAAAATTTGCGGACTATGCTACTTCCACTTAAATAGTATGCAACAAGGTTTCACTTCAGTGTTGTTATATTTTCTGGTCCTTCGGGATCATTGATGCCAACACTATAAAGTGTTGAGAATTGAGTACCGCTCAAGCCGGTGCTAAGTGGCGTGAGGGATGTTGCACTTATTCATTATCCCTCATGTACAGACTCAATCAAGCCGAGTCTGCAATTCTTATGTTATTTTGTTGTGATTAATGCTTCCGAAGGATCACTTTGTTTCCAGAATTTTGATTAAAATGAAAGGGACTTACAAAATTAAGCATTCTAGCCTTGTATGTAGAGTCTACTGCACTTAAAATGCATACACTTTTTTATGTTTTCCTTTTCCATATCGAGTCCTGTGACAGCTTTTAAAAAATCCACTAATATTTCATTTCTCGAATTTAACCAATTTTTACTTTAAATTCATCTAAACATGAGTCAAATTCATGTAATGTGCTGATTTTGTTTGCATCCTCTAGAATATCATTCGAAATATTATGGCCAATGGCCTTAACAATTTGACGAAAATCAGAATGAGATGTATATTTGTTTTCAATTTGGTCTATAAAGGCACCAAAGTTTTAATCTTTGGTCGCTTGCTGGCTGAAATTCTTAATTTGTCACAATGTTCAACACATGAGTCATATTCTGCCAGTGCATGGCTGGGTATAAATTCCTCTTTTTCATGAAAGACAACCTTATTTTTTTTGCTTTCGAGTCGGATTATTTGTGTTTAAAGTACTGTGCTATATCTTAATAACATGATAATACATTCCATACAATTATACAATATAAACATGAATGAAGACTAACGATTTTATTAAATCTGTATACTGATAATAATAGCCAAGCAGAAAAATCACGTAAACACAAAGAAAATACTTTTGAACATAGCCCGTACAAAAGATGATGAATCTGTCAGATGCTGACTAAAAAAGGAATATTTTTTTCGAAATTAAATTATCTGACCTAAAAAGACCGGAGTTGAAGATATCCGAAATTTGGATGCAAACTTTGGGGTATAGATATAAGCTTCGCGTTGTGTCTTGTTTCTATCTTTTTAATATCTCAATAATATATACAAGTAAAGCGGTAGTGACGTTGGTATAGACGTTGACGTCATCTTGATTCCCGCCGTCAATACGTCGTTGTTGTTCCCGCCTACACATAGCGTACGTCTTCCCGACATTCCCCCGGCCACAAAATGATGACGATGTAGAAATGATTTCTAATGGGTACAGTTTCACAATAGGTCTCGAAGTGACAAGTCCATTACTCGTGCGTAAAATTGCTGCTCGTGTGAGGCCATCATTACCGTAAATTAACTGCTGGATTACGCCTAGTTTCCACTGCGTTCTTGGTGATTCATCATAAATCTGTACAACGTCGCCAACCTGAACTGTCTGAGTGTTGTTTCCTGTTGTTTTGTGGTACTGACGCAGTGACGTAAGGTATTCGTGACGCCATCGTAAACGATAATGACTGATAAGTTGTGCCTGCAGTCTTGCCCTTTTTGTTACGTCAGACATTGTAACATTTTGTGGTTCTGGTGTATTGCCATTATATGGAAGGGATGTAATACGACGTCCATAAAGCAGGTGCGGCGGTGTTAATGGGTCCGGGTCTCCTATATCGGAAGTGACGTAAGTAAGCGGTCTGTCGTTCATTATACACTCAATCTCTGTTACTATTGTCTGGAGGCTCTCGTAACTAATATATGAACGACATAAAACTTTCTTGATGGTGGTTTTTGTTAGTCGAATAAGTCGCTCCCACCAACCGCTAAACCATGGTGCTCGCTTAGGTATGAATCTCCATTCAGTACCATGGCTATGTAGAGCGTCATTAACTGCCATTGATCTCATGAGTTGTTGAATAGTATTTGCTGCTGCGTTGAATGTTGTTGCGTTGTCTGATATCATTACATGGGGTAGGGATTTTCGACTAGTAAATCTTCTAAACGCTTGGATGAAGGTTTCCTCTGATAAATCTGGTACCAGCTCGAGATGGACGGCTCTTGTTGAAGCGCACGTAAATAGACAAATATAAGCCTTATGCTCAATTCTAGAATTGCTTCGTACATACAGTGCTCCAGAGAAATCAACCCCGGTGACTGTAAATTGAGATGTATCTTGTACTCTAATTTTTGGTAGGGGTGGTGGATCTGGTGCTGTATATGGTTTGCCTGTTACCATTCGACATTGAACGCATTTCCAGAGAAGGCTTTGTATATACTGACGGATAGATGGTATCCAGTATCTCTGTCGTAAATGTGTGATCAATGCACTTGCGCCTGCGTGAAGTTGGTTCTCATGTGCGTCTAAAACTACTAACCGTGTGAAAGGATGTTTTGCGGGAAGTAAGTATGGAAATCTGGTGAATTCTGTTACTGGTGCATTGTGGATTCTCCCGCCACATCGTAGAAATCTATCTTCATCCAGAAAAAGTCGTAAATGTTTCACTAGACTAAGTCGTTTACCATTTGATTTCAGATTATTGATCTCAGCCTGATACTTCAAGAACTGGGTGTTATGTAGCCACAGTCGTTCAGCCTCTTGTAACTCTTGAACGGTTAAAGGTTCGAGTCTTGACATTCTTCTGGCTCTGTTTCTTGTGCGACAATTATGGATAAAACGTTTCACATAGGCAGTCACTCTGAGTAGCTTTCATATAGCGACTGAATTTCTCAACATCAATGAGTTGGTGAATTCCTTGAGAGTGCTGTGTAAGGTTCGAACACCTTTCATGGTTTAAATCATCTTCTTCATTTTCGGTTGTTGTGAACAATATGGCATTGTCATTTGCTTGCCAGCTAGGCCAACTATTTATGTCATGAAGCCATTTTGGTCCATTATTCCATAATTTGCTTTTCTGGTATTCCTTGGCTGACAAACCTCTTGTTTAATAGGTCGGCCGGATTCTGGTCTGTTGGACAATACCTCCACTTCCGGTTCTCTGTTATTTCGTGAATCTCCATTATCCTGTTCTGTAATAAATGTCTTCAAACTTCCGATTAGTTGCTAACCAATGAAGAACTATTTTGGCTGTCAGAGCATAGGTAGACTGAATGTGCTGGTATAGACTTTAACACGTGTTTTGTAAGACGGGCTCCAATAACCGCAGCCATAATTTCGAGTTTCGGTAGTGTCAATTGCTTACGTGGTGAGACACGAGTTTTCGACATGACCAATGTAGACTGTTTGCCTTTGACGATGTATGCCACTGATCCATAGGCTTGTAGACTTGCATCGCAAAATACATGAAGAGAAATTGTATCATCTGCTAGTTCTGTCTGGTTCCCTACATTACCGGAAGTGATTTTTATGTCTGCTTTATCAAATTAGTATCTTTGATTTTTTTTCGTAATTGTACCATTGATATCTTCTGCTATATTCTGCCACTGTGAATGTATGGCTTCCGGAAGTGGTGCGTCCCATTCGTATTTTTCTTTCCATATGTCTTGTAGTAGGAGCTTAGCTCTTATCGTTATTGGGCTGAAGAATCCAAGAGGATCATACAATTTCGCCGTTTCTTGGAGTATGGTGCGTTTTGTCATCGGATTGAGCCTATTTATAGATCTCTGGTTCAAAAATATCTGGTCATTAATAGCGTCCCATCTCATGCCTAGAATCTTCGGAATTTCATCTGAATCATGTATGTCGTCTGCTTTGGAAAGCGCGCGGAAATGACAGCTGTTTGAATTCCAGGAATGCAGATTAAAGCCAGCAGATGACATCAGGTCTCTTGTATCGTGATAATATTTAATAACCGTGCTTTCGTCCGGAAAACTAGAGATAACATTGTCGACATATAAATCTTTTTTCTGTATTTCACTCACCCATTTGTTGTTGTTGTTATCAAGGTGTTTCATAAGTGTAGCTTGTAGGATAAACGGTGAACATGTAGCTCCAAAGAGTATAGATTTGAACCTGTAAGTTACCAAATTACTATCTGGATTGGTACTGTCACTTAACCACAGGAACCGGGTGACGTCACGATCTCTTTCGTCAAGTTGCACGTGCAGGAATGCCTTCTCAATGTCTGTCGAGACAGCAAATCTATGTAAGCGAAATCTCATAAGTATATTGGTTAAGTCATTTAATTTCGGGGGTGTTGATTCTAAACAATCGTTCAGACTAGGGGAATCTTTATTTTGGGCGGCAACTACAGTCATATACTATTCGGATTGGGGTGGTGGCTGAATCTTTTTTCACACCGTGATGTGGGATGTAGTGAACTCTTTTATCTATATTGTCGTCTGTAACTCTCTCGATAAAGCCTCGATTTTTTTGTTCTGAAATAATTTGGCCATACTTCTGTAACATGTTCGTATCTTGTCGTAGGCGTCGGATTGTATTTTCCGTTCTTTTAAGAACAATGTTATAATTGTCAGGTAACACCGGATGATCACGTTTCCATGGTAACTGTGCTGAATAACGTCCGTCTTTGAATTCAATGCATTTTTCCTGATATGTTGCCAGGTAGTCGGAGGTAGTTTCATCTCCTTTTTCAGGCTGAATACCTTGAGACTCTAACTTCCAGAAACGTTCTAGGTCATGTGTATCTGGCTTAGATATTAATACATTTAATATGCAGTCTGTAGCCGTATCAGTAGGAGAAACCGGAAGAGGACCGGAAAGCAAGTATCCTATCTTGGACTGGACAGCTGTGGGACCATTACCACGGATCACTCTATTACTTACAATATCCCAGTACTTATCTGCACCAATCAGAAGTGATATATTGAAAGTGTCGTCATCTGTAACCGGATGCACAAGTTTAAGCCCACGAAGATACGGAAGTGCTGTTGTGGCTTGTTGCACGTTTCTTAAGGGGACGGAAATAGTTGCGACAATCAGGACATCTATAGCTATCATTTCTTTGGTATCAGTTAATAAATATACTGTTGTGGTATCAATATGACTTACTTTCTTTGAAGATGAACCAAATGCTGCAAGCTCTACGACTTCTGTTCCCGTTCTTCTGAGTTCGAGTCTTTCTGCAAGTTCCTTTGTTACAAATGACCTCTGTGCCCCTTCGTCAAATAAAATGATAACATCTGTACAAAGGTTACCAGATGCAACTCCAGATGTTACTTTCGCAACAGCGGTTTTCAACAAAACTTTAGGTCTAGAATGTGTAGTAGAATGTAGTATTGCGGACTGATCACTGGAACCGGAAATGATTTTTGAACCGGAAGTAGCTTGATCTCTTAAACCTGGAGTGTAACTTGGGGCTGTAGCATTCAAATTACTATGTCAGTCAGTTAAACATAGTCAAAAAGAAGAAAAATGCATTTTTTAGCAAATGCATGTTTGTACTTCCCCATATTGTTTTTAACGACCCGCTAACTACCTGTCTGGCATAACTTTATATACATTATATAGTTTTGAGGAATGGTATTTAATTGTATATAAACGGAGTTGCATATTAAACATATAAAACCTATAAATTCAAAATTGACTGACAAATCCCGTATAATAATACAGAATAATAATATAATAATGTTTATAATAATGCACGTAAATAAACCTTAAGCGGTGAATGAAACCCACCCCCTCCATTTATCTGAGTAGAATTAGCTAGCTTGGTTGTTTGAAAGGATAAAAGTTAAATCTGATGTCTTATGTCATATATATACTAGAAAGTTTTATCTTTATCTTAACGTAAAGGATACAAAGTATCTGATAAAAAAAATATAAAATCTACTGAAGCTTACCAGTACATACAGCTGATAAAATTTTTTATTCACATTGATAAGATGATTTTGCACATCTCCAAAAGCTGACAAATATGATACGTTTTTGATATTGCAACTTTTTTTTCTCGATATGCTTTTTACTTTTGTATCTTCGACAAAAATCTAGTTGAAAAAATACACTTCGTTATTATCGAGGAAAACATTACAACAAGTGACTAGGTTTTCTAGGGGTGTCCGTGGCCGAGTGGTTGATTTCGTTGACTTCAAACCATTTGCCCCTCATTGCTGTGGATTCGTATCCCGACAGGGACTTTTGATTTTTTCATGTAAGGGAGCTATCCATATAGCCTACGCAATGTCGGTGGTTCAACTCAGGTGCCCGTTCGTGCCTGAAAATTATGCACGGAACCCCAATAAGTAAACGCGGAACGTCGCCATATGACCTATACTGTGTCGGTGTGACGTTTAACTGAATCAAACAAACAAACTAGCTTTTCTCGATATGTTTTATGTTTCTGCAAGAGAGTACGAAATGTGCTGTTAAAACCCAAACAAACAAGAAGAAAATTTCGATCAAAAATGTCTAAAGCATCAGTTTTTGTTCCGCTACAATAGGAATTTAGATATCAACTCGCCCGCATTGATCAAGCCAGTGCTTGGGAGCGTGAAGAATGTTGCATTTTTTCATTATCCCTCATGTACAGACTGAATCATAACGAGTCTGCAATTTTCATGATGTTGTGATAAATGCTTCTAAATGATCACTTTGTCTCCAGATTTTAAATTGAACAAGCATGTAAACATGGTAGGTTTAATTAATTTGGTTGACATGAAACGCAATGAATTAATTATTTCATAAAAATAAAAGCCATTTTCCAAAGTATACATGTAATGTATGCACCTGATTCTATAGTCTGAAAATGACAGGAAATGGGATGTTTTGGGATTTTTGTTTAAAGCGATGGATTTTAATTTCAACAAACCCCCGTTTTAATGAATAAATTTTGTTCCCTTAAATAAACGGTCAAAGAACTTATTTTTTTCCTGACAATTAAAATCATGTTAAAAGTTGATAGAATTAAAAAAAATAACTGCATTTGCTGGATTTTTCTTGAATTTGTGTTTAGTAGGACCAGTAAATATTGATCATGAACCAGTAGACGCAAGAAAATGCGATATGTCGTTATACCAAATGTCGAGGGTCGCGTTGTCTAGTGTCGTTATACATTGTCAAATGACACTGTGTAAAAAATGACATTGATTTAATGACATTTTAAAAATATCGCTTGACGATGTCAAGTGCCGCCTTGCATTGCCGTGCGTAAAGCCTTTCGTCGCATAGTTGCTTCTCACTTTCGACTGTCGTGGAATACATTTCTGCTAACCCCGAAATGATAATGCGAAGCGACGCCCGACAATGCAAAGTGTCAGTTGACAACACCAAGCTACATTTCTAAAATGTCGCCCTTTTTAACAGTCACATTTTAAGATGACAGTGTGATATATCGTTTGACATTGCCAAGTGCTGCTTCGCATTGTCGAATGTTGTTTTGCATTGTCAAACGTCGCTTTGCAATGTTACTATGTAACTTCGCATTGCTGTGTGTCCAGCCTTGGACGCGATGGATGACATTATAAAGGGCACAATAAGTGAATTAATTTCAGAAATTTAAATATTGACAAAACTTCTTATTATTATGTAAAAGCAGATTAAGGACCACTTAAAGGCTGGATGTTAATTGATACTGGAAGTCCTATTTCTATAGTTTAAGGCTTCAAAATAAACCAAAATTAGACTTAACAAATGTACAATTATCAAGTGCTAATGTCTTGCGGTTTACAAAAGAGCATATTTTTATTTAATTGACTTTCTTGTCGCTGACATAGAAGAGAAAATTGGTATTTGGGTATGGGTATGGGTTGTTTAAGCAATTATATGTTGTTGTTTTTTTCAAAACTGCCAAACGTATTTTGAAAGCTAATCTGGGGAAAGTAAAAATACGTCGTTTTCACACAATATGCTGTGCCAGATAAAAAGTTTCAGAGACAATTATAATCCGTGCAAGAGTAGAAATGACCATCGATACAACCCTAAATGGCAATTGCATAAACAAAAAATATAATTCATTAAATGTTACTCACAAATTCAAAAGATAAGGGTATTTTAGTGGCTCGATCGATTGATACTGAATATAAACAATCAGCCTGTAAAATTGGAATCATATATTGTTTTAGGTTCAGTGACTGAAATTTGACATTTTTTTGAATTGTAAAAATTGTATTATTCATTTAGATGACATTAAAGACTGTGTTCTGCCTACACATTTAGAGTCTTTATTTTCAGTATGTGGGAAATAACTTAGATAAGGAACGGAAATTAAAAATCAAGTCACTTTTAACATATTTTGAGGACATATGTGTGGGTCCAGATTGCATTTTAGGCCAAACTAATATAGTTGAGTATTTTATTCAATGAAAAACTAGAGGAATATCTATACATTTACAAAAAGCTGTTAATTTTGAGATTGCCAGAATGCTAGAACAAGATGTAATAGAACGGTGAAGTTCCAGTTGGGTGTCAGGCACATGTTAAGTAGGAAAAAAGATAACAGAATTAAGTTTTTGTTGATCTAAGGGCTTTAAACTAAGCTACTTTGTTTGATGCTTATCCTTTGCCTAAAATTGATAAAAAAACGTTAGATTATCTATCAAACAGACATTATTTTCATTTGTTAGATTGAATGGCAGCTCCAACAAAATGAAAATGACTAACAAAACAAGTTTCAAGATGATAGGAATGGGTCAGTTTCCTTTCAAAGTATTGCCTTTTGGTTTAAAAAAATGTCCCTAAATTCCTTTAGAAATTAATGAATGCTGTTCTTTGCGGCTTAGGTTTTGAGAGATGTTTAGTGTATTTAGATGATGTTAGTATTTTAGGGAAAACTGGCAAAAAACTATTCTTGGTGCTTACACATATAAGACATGCTAACCTGAAATTGAAGTTAACTAAACTTTAACCTTTTTTCAAGAGGAAGTTATATTTTAAGGACATAAAGTTTCTGCTAGTGGTATTACTTGTGACCGATCGAAAATAAAAAAGTATACAAAATTGGCCAACCCCTACCAATAAACATGAAGTAATGCCATGGTAATGATTCAAAACGTTGGCGTAATCCCATTACCTTTAACGAGACTCGCGTGGGAAAATGCTAAATTTAAATGGGATAAAACGGAAAATGCGGCATTTGATAAATTAAAACTTGTCTTGGTAATCCACCTATTTTGGCTTTTCCTGAGGAAAATTGTAGTCAATTTATTTATACTGACGCAAGTACTAATATTATATTAAAACAAGAGCCATGTCGAATGTTTTTGCTCAATGGAAAAAGCTAAAGTGATTAAAGATTTGAAACCTATGTGAATACTGGTGGCTGAAAATAACAAAGGGCAATAACTGAAAAATAATGCACGGTAGGTTATCATTCTTGTGTGCTGCACCCCTCCTCGGTAAAATCTATCCACCTATGGAGGTGGACAAAATAGTATGAGAAAGAACAAAGGGCAATAACTAAAAAATTGTAATGGGAAGAGTTATCATTCTTGTGCACAGCATTCCTCCTCAAAGATCTATCCACCTATGCTATGTCATGTTGACATCTCTAACACTTTGAGTTATGCTTCACTCAGGTGAAAAATTAAGTATGAAAATTAGCAAAGGGCAATTACTCAAAAATTATTAATGTAGGGTTATAATTCTTGTGCAATGCACAACTCCCGAGATTCATGCACCTATGAAGTATCATGTTGATATCTCTAAGGCTTTTTGAGTTATGCTCTGGACAAAAATTATTTTTGAAAAATAACAAAGGGCAATAACTCAAAAATTATGCAGGGTGTAGTTATTATTCTTGTGCAATGCACTCCTCCACAATGTGGTCTATCCACCAATGAAGTTTCAAGTTGATACCTCAAATACTTTTTGAAATATGCTCCGGACAAAAATGTCGGGCGGAAGGACGGACGGACGGAGACTACTAGTATTTCTATATCCCCCGTCGCCTTTTCGGCAGGGGATAATAATTTCTCAAGTTCAATAGGGACAAGAAAAGGTGTTGGTTTATTACAGTAACATTTTAAACCTTGCACAAAAATAATTGTGCAATGAACAAGGAAGTTATGTACTCTAGTTCATGTCATACAACATTGCAAACATAATTAATTATGGAAGATGTTTTTAGTTCGTTCAGATCATGAGAGTTGACATCCCTTCAAAAGTCTAAGAAGCCTGAAGGAATTCTTGCACCTAGGATTATAATTATTGAAGCCTTGCAATTTCACATTGAATATAAAGAAGGCACAAAGCATTTAAATGCAACAAGTCTATCTAGAAAAATAAAAAGGCCATGCAAAATAGCTATTTATCAGGAGTGTGTTAGTACTTTATAAAAATCAAGAATGACTAGAAACAACAGTAAATATGTAAGCATGTAAGCATAAATCCAATTCACAACAAGCAAATTCGTTGAATTTATATCCCCCGCCGAGTACTGGTTATTATTAACACAACAACTGAAGACATAAGGCTTTATTTATATACTAATCATGGCATTAACAGTAATATTCTTTGAACTTGATAAATATTCAGGGCAATAACAGAGCCATAACTCTGTGTTAAATAGTAAAATTTGGAACTGCCAATGAGATGTATGCATACTACATAACTAATCAAGGGCAATAAATCTGAGTTATAAGTATCTGACTGGAACAAGGCGACTATATGCACATCTCCTCTTAGTATCCCATAAAGTTTCATTGAATTCCAGCCAGTAGTAGCAGAGAAGTAGCGAGGAAACAAATATTTTTCTACATGGATACTGCATAACTAATCAAGGGCCATAACTCTGAGTTAAAGTGTCTGACCGGAACAAGCCGACGATATGCGCATCTCGTCTTGATATTGATGATTCCCATAAAGTTTCGTTGAATTCCAGCCAGTAGTTGCAGAGAACTACTCCGGAAACGATTTTTACTCCATTTGCATATTGCATAACTAATCAAGGGCCATAACTCTTAGTTAAAGTGTCTGCCCCAAACAAGCCGACGATATGCCCATCTCCTCTTGGTATTGAAGGTTCCCATAAGGTTTCGTTGAATTCCAGCCAGTTGTTGCAGAGAAGAAGTGCGGAAACAATTTTTACTCCATATGCATACTGCATAACTAATCAAGGGCCATAACTCTGAGTTAAAGTGTCTGACCGGAACAAGCCGACGAAATGCGCATCTCGTCTTGATATTGATGATTCCCATAAAGTTTCGTTGAATTCCAGCCAGTAGTTGCAGAGAAGTAGTGCGGAAACGATTTTTACTCTATATGCATACTACATAACTAATCAAGGGCCATAACTCTGAGTTAAAGTGTCTGACCAAAACAAGCCGACGATATGCGCATCTCCTCTTGATATTGATGATTCCCATAAAGTTTCGTTGAATTCAAGCCAGTAGTTGCAGAGAAGTAGTGCGGAAACGATTTTTACTATATATGCATACTACTACATAACTAATCAAGAGCCATAACACTGAGTTAAAGGATCGGACCGGAACAAGCCGACGATATGCGCATCTCCTCTTGATATTGATGATTCCCATAATGTTTCGTTGAATTCCAGCCAGTAGTTGCAGAGAAGTAGTGCGGAAACGATTTTTACTCTATATGCATACTACTACATAACTAATCAAGGGCCATAACACTGAGTTAAAAGGTCGGACCGGAACAAGCCGACGATATGCGCATCTCCTCTTGATATTGATGATTCTCATAAAGTTTCGTTAAATTCCAGCCAGTTGTTGCAGAGAACTACTCCGGAAACGAAATTCGGACGGACGGAAGGATGGACAACGCCAAAACTATATCCCCCTCCCGATTCCATCGGCGGGGGATAATTAAAATAGGACACAGATCAGAATCTAGAACCAAACTAGCTGTTTCATAGGTCCAGTAAATAGTATCTTGAGTATCAAACTAACGACTCTTAAGGGTCCGAAATAATTAGGTTAAAACGACAATATTTGGTGGCATAAACCTAGTGCTATACCTTTTGATGATAGGAAATGTAAAAATTGTTATATTTTGGAAGATGAATTTCACTTTATTTTGAATTCTCTATATAATGAATTACGAAAAAAAATATATAAAAAACACTTTTGGAAAAGACCAAATATACCTAAATGTGTTACATTGATGAATTCAGAAAATGAAATAGAAATTAGAAACTTATCAATGTAAATATTTAAAGCTTTCGATGTTCGAAACACTATTCTTTACAGTTAATCAAAAGTTTGCCCCAGACGCTGTATCACTGTTTCTGACATACACTT